TTTCCAAGTGTTCCAGTAAAGCAATTCCTCCAGCCTTAATTTATCTACATCTTATTTGACACCTTGGGATAACCATTTGACCCCTTCTGCTCCGTCCTTGTTCTTGTTTTTCTAATTTCTGTCATGCCTTCCTAATTAATATTTCCCAAACCTATCTTTTTCTCTCTCTTCTCTGTTAAGACATTTTTCTAGAAGATGTCTGTCTCTGTATTTCACTAATTTAATGTCTTCAAATGCTTTCTTAAAATGTGTCTTATGAGACAAGTGAGGGTTCCTTGGCTGTATTGTTGCATCACCCTATGAGAGAGGTAGAGTTAGCCATGTGTGGGCATGGTGAAGAACAGCTCTTCTCACATTGCTTACTTGTCTTAGCAGCCTTACTAGTGTCATTTTTCCTGGAGTTTTCTTTTATCCTGGTACACAAACTGCTCACATTTAAACTATCTGCATAACTGAGAGGAAAATTATCACCAGAACCATTGAGACCAGCACAAAGATGTTTTTCACATCCTCTGACATTTAGCATACCTATGCACAGAACAACCCACATGCGTGTAGTGGGAAGGTGGGAGAGCCAGTGCGATCTCTGCCTTGTGCAGAGACAAGCTCTGGGGTCCTGCAGATGTTGACATTCAGGCAGTGGCACACTGTACCTCCATGCAAGGCTTCCTGGATCAGCCTACTGTGAGAATGGGAGTCACTGTCTTCAAGGAACATCCGACTCAGTGTAATTTTTCACAGAGTGAGACAATGGTACCTGCTGTGGCACTGCTGTTTTAGTGGGAATAGACAGCATGGCTCAGCAGGAGAAATATGCTGTCTGCAAAAGAGGTGTATGTACCAGCTGGGCATTGGGTGAAGGGCTAGGGAGACAGGCGAGAGAAGGGCAGAATGGTAAAGAGCTGTGAAGGTGAAATCAGTAATTCTGAGTACAAGAAAGTGGACAAGGCAGAGCCTGAGGAGAGACCCAAGGAGATGCTGATATGGTTGGTGTGATGGAGGCTCAGGCTGAATGGAAAAGAGAGGAGTGGTCTGCCCTTGGCCATGTTACAGCTGCATCAGGGTAAGGCTGGAGGGGAAATAAAAGCCAGAGGTTGAAAAAAGTGTAAGAGAAAATGAAGGATTTGGGTCTAGCCTGGATTTGTGCAGTAGAAGAAAAGTCAAAGGCAAAGAAGCCTTCCTTTTCAAACAACTTTTTTTCAGGGAGAAGTCAGGGTGGTTTCTCAGGCAATCTTACAAAATACAGCAGGCAGTCCCACTATGGAAAAGCACAGACATATTTTAAGCACTTTCATGTTTTATATATGATATTGGTGATTTTTTATATATGATATTGGTGTTTGCTGTTCGCTGCTGAATTGGGGAAGTCAAAGGTTTCCAGGCCAGGCATGGTTTCTTTAGCACATGCAGGTTCTAGTGGTTCTCTGCAGGGTCATGGACTCCAGAACCAGTAGAAAGGCTCATGGCTGATTTCACCTTCCTCCTAACACACCCATGAATGCCCTGACATTATCCTGCCACTAGTCACCAAAGGAGATAAATTTGCACTCGAAATGCAGGGGAGAATTCAGAGCCAAAGAGTAAGGAATAAAATCATATAATGACAGGATCATAAAACTGTTTGGGTTGGAGTTGGAAGGGACCTTAAAGATCATCTCATTCCAACCCCCCTGCTGTGGGCAGGGACACCTTCCATTAGACCAGGTTGCTAAAAGTCTCATACAGCCTGTCCTTAAACTCTTCCAGGGGTGGGGCAGCCAAGTTTCCCTGGGCAATCAACCTATGCCAGTGCCTCACCACCCTCATAGCCAAGCATTTCTTCTTAATATCTAAGCTAAATCTCCCCTCTTTTATTTTAAAGCTATTCCCCCTTGTTCTATCACTAAATAGTCTTTTCAAAATCCATCTCCATCTCTCTTGTATCTCCTTTAGATACTGGAAGGTGCTATAAAATCTCCCCAGTGACTTCTATTCTCCAGGCTGAACAACCCCACCTCCCTCCATAGGAGAGGTGCTTCAGCCCCCTGATAATCATTGGGGCCCTCCAAAATTCTATTTTGACATTCTGCTCTACTGACTCATTCAGTTTGGGCCAGCTGCTTACAGGTAGCTCAACACTGAGACAAAAGAAGCAAATGAAGTTTTTCTGTTCCTGTGGAAAAAAAAAACCAAACATGGTGACATTTTTCTTCATAGAGTTTTTTAAGTTTGTCTAAAGCAGGACTTCTTGACAATTTCTTGACAACCTGGGGCTAGACTCTGTTACAGCAATTTATTTGGGATCTGCATAGCAGATATATTTTAAAAGGTCATATAATGGTGGAATGTCTTTCTGGGGCCAGATAGAATTGTCCCCCCAGGCTAGCAGTTGGAGAGCTTTAGCTGGGTTAAAAAAAAAAGTGATACAGAATGCAAATGCTATGTTCTTACATGTTGAGTTTTGGGAAATGTTTAAGCAGAGAAGGAAGGAGTTTTTCTACTTTCAAAGTTAATAAAATCCCTTCTATTCCTTTAGGAAAAAGTAATTTATTTTTTTTTATTTAAATTTACTTCCTGATCAAAAATTTAACAATCAGTGCCAGCTTCAGTGGACTTAGCAAAAACAAATGAAAAGCCCAATGCTCTGTACCCCCCTTTACATTTTTACATTGCTTTAAAGCAGGGTGGGAGGTTTTGAAAAGCAGCATGACATACCTGTGGTAATTGGATACCTGTGCTTCTGCTATTTCTATCCTTCTGGAGTTGGTGCACATGGCAGCACAGTCTCTCATCTGAGACCAGCCATCACAGCAGGCACTCAGCTCTATGGGTAATTAAGTTAAATACAAAGAAAACTGAGGCTTGACACTTGGGACCCAATACTGACTGGACTTGGTTATTTGCATCTCAGAAGCTAATGTGAGGTGACCAAGATCCACTAGCAATCTCTAATTCCTTCTTTTGCTGGGCTGTGAGCTTGAGTAGACACTTCCAAAGGGCACCTTCCTATTTCAGGCTTCAGTATCCTGCAATGAGCTTTGGAGTTTACTTCATCCAACAAGCTGATGTTTAGTCTCTCCTGATGTGACTCAATATTAAGAAAAAATTCTGCTAAGATCCCTCAGTTCCTGCTCACTTATGAACCTTGATCTCACAGTACCTTGGGAAGAGCAAAAAATGCAGCCCCAAAACCCTGCCCCACAAACTAGGTATGTGTGGCTATCCTCATGAAGTCTTGTAGCCATGAGCCTTTGAGCTGAGCAGGGAGGAGGCTAATACCTGTCCAGAAGACATTCTGTCTTTCCAGAGTCAGCTCTCACCTAATTTCCCCATTTCCCTTTGGTCTTCCCGCTTGTCAATGTGTGGAGAACCAGGCTCGGTATTCCTCTAAATATTGATGACAATTTCACTGCCAAAAGTCCATTTCTAATCTGTGGATCTCCTTGGAGCATTAGTTCCCAGTGTCACCTAGACCTTTGGTGGTCTATTTATCTTGTTACGAGCTCTTATATGGTAGGAGCTCTATAAAGCAGATGGGCTCTGGAGAGAATGGGGCTAATTCATAGTTTTGAATTCTCATTTGAATTTCCCAAGTGCCTCTGCACACCGAACTTTTTGTCCTTCATTCCTCTGGTGCTCGAGAGTGCAGCAACCCAATGACTCCTGGTGAAGGGGAGCTCAGTGTCCCTCTCATCAGGGGTCAGGTGTCAGGGCTCCTTCAAACAGAGGGGAAAATATCCTGTTCAGAACCTCTATGGATGTGCAGGAGGAACTGTGCATAGAGAAAGGGTACAAAACTCTTGAAATACTGTCTGACATGCACCACAGCTAGCAAGGGATGAGGTAAGAGTTTTGGGAGGTGGGCTGTTCAGGAAAGGAAAGGGGAAGGCAGCATGGAAGGGAAGCATAGTGTGGAGATTGAGAGTGGCTGTAAAATCAAATGAAACTCCAATGAGTCTTAGCTCTGGAAGTTTGCCTGAGAGACAGAGTCCAGATTAGCTGCAAGTAACAGGAAAAGAAAAGCAATAGTTTGTTCTGTTGCACTTCTCAGGGAAGGTCTGCAAAGAGTGCAGGATGGCAGAGAAATTACAAATCCCAATGGTGGGCACATGGATGGGGGAGATACCCTGGCAGGCTCCCCATGCTGCTGCACTGCCACAAGGGAACCTTTGCAAACAGCAGCATACCACTGAAACCCCGTATACACATTACCCCATGGCTGTTGGCTGGCTGAGCCCACCCTCAGGGTGTTCCTGCTTGCTGCCCCACAGGCAGCTCAGGCTGTGCTCTTTTCCTGCTCCAGATGGTGGGGTTGAGCCAGTGGTGAGACCAGAGCTGTGTGAGCCCGGTGCAGCTTTCAAACCCAGCCTCTAGCACAGCCTGTCAGTGAGGCACAGGGTTACCTTGCTCTCTCTGTATCTGCTGGGGTGCTGCCTTGGGTCCAGTGGGCTCAGAGCATGTCTGACCGTGATCCTCCAAGAGCCATCCTCCCCAGTCCCACCCAGCATTTCAGCTGATGTTCAGCCCTTATATCCCCTTGCAGTCTAATGCATCACAGCTGCTTAAAAGCTGCCCCCACAGCTCTGTCTTCCCTTCAACCCCATGACCCCATGTTTGTCTTTTTTTTCCCTTAGTCACAGAAACTCCCCTTTTGCCACATGCTCCCTCTGCTGATCTCAGCAATGCTTCACCTATCCCCTAGCCCCGCCCCTTTCCTCCGGGTTCTTTAGTCTTTCTTGTACCCTCCCCACCTCCCCTTACAAGGGGGGATATTTTCCAGCCCACCACCAGCAGCTGCAGCATCTTGCTGCTGGTGAAATGCCAAACCTTCGCCTCTAAGCAGCGCACACAACTCTGAGCATGAGACAATCAGGAGGGAAAGTGGGAAGGGGGAAAGTATTGACAGGAGTAAGTTGAGAGAAATCATAAAGCTTAAGCAGAAAGAAAGCAGTTTGAAAGGTAAAGTATTCAGAGAAAGCCCTTTCCTGGATGAATCTAATTGTTTTGTTATCTTTACCCACCAAAGCATTTACTTTGGTTTGTCGCCCGATCCACAAACACTTTCGAGGAGATGACATTACCGAAAGGCAGGAACATCTGCATCAGCTCAGCATCCCCAAACTCCTGGGGCAGATGGTAGATAAACAGGTTACAGCCCTCTGGTCCTATCAAGAGAAAAAGAAGACTCATGAATGAAGAGAAATAGGATACAAGAAAGCACATGGTGGAGATTTACTTTGGCATCCTCTCTCTCTGACTGGTGACGGGTCACCTCTAGGAAGCAGCTTGTAGACTCTCAGAGGAATGGACAAAGCACAAGACCAGGAACTCAAAATGTCACCTAGAGGCTATGGTAGCTTCATTAACCTTCCCAGGACAGACATCAGGATAAAATCTAGAGACAGAGGAATGCACCAGCACATATGGCTATGGAAAGGCAGAATGGAGGAATAGTGACTCAAAGAATGAAAGAATATGGTTCATAGTTTTCTTTTGTTCCTTGTAACCCACAGGGTCATTTTGTTCTGTAGAATTTTGGATTCGGCCCCCAGTCTGACTCATCTTGAAGACTCCCCCAGATCAGGGCAGTTTGGCCATGTCCTCCATTCTAGAGGGTTCTGCAGGAGAGACTGCACAACTGTTTCCATCTCCAGAGAGATGGATGTAAATCCAGATTATTAGACAACAGGGACTGGCTTTTTTGGCTCAATGCTGTAGCATATTCTTTTACAGATTTCAGAGCCTACTTAAGAAAATATCCAGAGAGGAGTATGAAGTTTTTTTAAATCGGAAAGCCTCAAAAAAATGTTCTGTTGAAATAATATTTTGGGACAGAAGAGGGAGAACCTGCCTCTGGTCAAATAGTCTAGAATGAAACTTTTCAACCTGACTTTTATTTTTAAGCATGCTGTCTTTGAGCAACAGTCTAAAGGGAACAGGTGTGTCCAAGTGGTTTTGTTCAAAAAATTAAACACTTAACAGATTTTCAGTTTTCAATAGCAGAAAACTGTACAGTTCGAGGAGGCAGGGATTCTTTTTTTCATCACCTTATTTCCAAAGGTATTTCCAGGTGATGCCCTGCTCTGTACTGGCTGTGACGGGTAACTCCAGCCCTGCTTTGCTGAGAAGGGACACAGTGCATGCCCTTTGCCAAAAGGGTAAGAAGTCAGAGAGAAGGAGGGTTTCCTCCTTCCCCCTAGTCCGTGTGCCTATAACCCTGTGACCTGACTCAGTCAACTTTCCCCCTTTTATGTCTGTGGGGAAGGAAAGGGTTTTTTAATACTCTCGTTTTCTTCATCAGGGCATAATTACAGTGTCATAACACAGCAAATTACAACTTTGCCTTTCCTGTTAGGGAGAGGAGTTTGCCTAGATGCTCCCACCTTTTATTAGCCATTACTCATCCCCCCGGCTGGCAGGAGAAGTACGGTGAAGTCAGGATTCTGGCAGATGCCCATTTAAAGCTCATTAAAATTCCTGGGCCTCAGCATGATTGAAGTCACAGGCTCTCCACATTTCCTTTTGGATTAATGGAAAATGAAGCCCTAATGAATATTTGCTAAGCACAATTTTCCCCACTAATTTGCTAAAAGGACTGTCATGAAGGAACAGCTGATCCTTTGCATCTTGTGCATTTCCTAAAGGTCATGGGGATGGTAACAGGGTTTCTTCCAAATGTGGGGGATAGTGGTATGGTGGGATAATTAACTAATTAGGCACCCGGTCATCTGCTTAGCTAAATTACTTTTGAACCTCAGTGGCCCACAATCAGGCTCCCCTATTTCATGCCAAGCTTTTCCAGCTTCCCCCCACCTCCTTTCTGCCTCTTCTTTAGTTTCCTCACTGAGCAACTATCCCGTCTCCAATCCTTGCTGCCATTTGCTTCCACACAATGTGGAGTTATTGGCATGGTAAGCTAGATATGAAACAGTCTGAAAGTGTTAAACAAACACCAACCCCCTTAGGTGTCTGTTAAAATTGAGAAAATTCTGCCCAGGAGAAGAACGCGGTCCAGAATAACAGGGAAAAAAATTCATTCTTTCATCTGAAAGTGCCCCAGAGCACTTCTGCTATGGGATTTGAGATCCACATTATAATAGAATGGGTAAAATCTTGGCTTTGCTGCAATTGGTGGCAAAATTCCCACTGACATCACCAGAGCCAGCAGTTTGCTCTGTAAAACTGGCCAATTCTTTCAAAAATACCAGCTGCATTTCCTGGGGTCTTGGATTCATTGTGCATGAGTACGGATTCTGCCTGTGTGTGCTGAGAAACACCTACCAAGGCATAAGGCAGACCAGGAGGCACACAACTTCATCTAGACCATGTTTAGAGGCTGGGCTCAAGGAGAGAACAACCCTTAGGTCACCTTGAAATCAACTTTTCCTCGCACGACTCAGAGACCAAGAGTGAGAGACCAGTGAGGATGTGAAAAAAGCAGGGACCATCCTCAAAGCCCAGCTCAGCTCTGAAATGTGGCTGGGAGACCTGAGCTGTGGCTTCCCATACTGACTCAGACATGCAAGGCCAAACTCACTTTGTTCCCGACTACAGAGGGTTTTTGGCTAATTTTCAGTGCTGAAAATGCCACCTGCCTCTGAGAAAAAAAAAAAAAAATTGTGATAGTTTGATTTGTTTTGTCAACCTCACATATAAAAATTCTGCCATTAGAGTTTAACAAGCAATTTTTTGTTGAATCCATCTGTAGGTTACCTATTGCAGTTAGAGTCCTTGGTAAAGAATTCACAAAACATGACCTGTCTGCCTCAGCCCTTCTACCTTGTTGGACTTTTTTTTGCCTGCTTCAAGTCAATATGGGCACTCCATACAAGGCTATGGGTTTGTGTATATGGCTGACTCATCGTACATACATGTATGTTTTTAAGAAACTAAAGACATGAGGAAGAAATTCTTCCCTACGAGTGTGGTGAGGCACTGTCACAGGTTGTGAGAAGTTGTGGATGCCCCATCCCTGGAAGCTTTGAAAGCCAGGTTGGATGCGGCTTTGAGCAGCCTGGTCTAGTGGAAGGTGACCCAGCCTGCGACAGGGTCTTGGAACTAGGGTTTTTAAAGTCTCTTCCAACTCAAACTATTCTATGATTCTATGAGTTGTTCATCTCAGAATTTTATGAAAGTCTAAGTTAGTTCTCAGTGCACAAATACAATGAGTTTTAAGGCACTTGCTCAAATCACTGGAGCAAGAGAAAAATCACAGTGGGCATGGAAAAACTTTACTGAAGACTCCAACTAACTTGCTGGAGAGAAAGTTCTTGTTTTGAACAGCATTAATGGATTATTGGATATTAGTATCCTTGGCAGTTCAGGGCTGAGTACAGTAATAAAATTATTTACCAAGGCTTTACTTTTATTTTTAAAAGGGCTTTGAGCCAACTTGAAATCTAACTCTCATGACACTTTATGAGAACAGAAAGAAGTTTCGTTTTTACACTGATGTCTACCATGGCTCTTGGTTTTATGACCTTCAGGTGTATATATTTCTTTCGTTTATACAAAAGAAGCACAGATAGCCTTGATTTGAACAAAAAAGAAAGAAGGGCTTTAAGGAACGCACAGTTCATGAATTGTCTGTAGATTACAGGGAGACCATGATAGATAATGGAAAACCTGTGACTGAGGGCACAGAACCACATGATTGATTTGGTTTGGTTGGACCTGAGCTGCTAAGCCACTGCTCTGCCCCTGCTCCTCAGACTTCAGCTCATTGTTAGTTTTTTTAGCACCAGGACAGCTACAGACCCAGCTTATCCCTGGGTGCCCACTGTCAACGTGAGTCAACTCCATCTACCTGATCAGATATCAACTATGTGTCATCATATCCCCAACATCAGAGGCAATGTCATAAGGAAAGGCTATGATTAGACTTGTTTTCCAACAGTAATTAAAACTGGGCTGTCCTGTAAGGTTGTGTGAAGTTAGGCTGCAGCACTCTGGTCAGCTGCACACCTCACCTCTACAGCAAACACTCAGAGGCTGGAATTTCATTGCCTCTTCTGCGCCTGCTTCCTATTCAGTCCCCAGTCTGTTTGGGAACAGGGCACATGAGAGTCACAAGCCTGTACTACTTTATTTTAATATATAAGTGTACTTCTGAGTTTTGGAAACTACATTAAAATGAGTAATACCATACAAATGTAAAATTACCTCCAAGTGTTCTGTGGTTGACATGGCCTGAATCAAGATTTCATCTCAAGCTTTGATAGTTTTGGATCTGTTCCACCCCATGCACCCTGTCAGCTGCCGTCAGCCTCAGTGCTCATGTGGAAGTAATGACTAATCTCTACAGGAAGGTTCCAGCAGCCAAACGTCTCTGGGCTTGTTATCCAACTGGGATGCGGGAGTGGAGAGTTTAGCATTGTTATTAACAGTGTGATCATTGGTGTTACTGTTGTGATAGGGCTGGTACACTAACGAATCGATGTTTATGCCCATCCTTGCAAACATAAAGTACTTTTCTCAGCACTGGGCATTATTATTGTCATTAGAGTTCCCTCTTGCTGTGTTTTCCTGTTAAAGGTTAAAGATGCTTAAAGGTCTTGACCCTCTGCTAAAAGGGAGTGTTGTGTCTCATAGATTATCCCTCAAGCAGCAGAGAAAGCCACAGCATCCTAACACTGCAGGAAAATGAGGGACACTGGGAGTGCCAACCTGCATTGGACTAGTCGTACATCTCTTATCTCTGGCCCCCAACCACCTCCATCCTCAATACCAGCTGCTTACAAGAAGAAGTGAAGAGTTATGAGATAACTTGTCCACTGGGTGACACTCACTCCCAACCCACAGAGACACACCATGCCTTGTGAACACAGGGATCTTCAGGCAGAGGGTCTTCAAAGTGTGCACCACAGCTTTCCCCTGCTCCTGATGGTTCCTGGCACTATGCTGTGCTGAGCAATGATCTGCTCGCCATTTTGTCCTGTGCTTAATCTAGCCCCAGTAAGTAATAAAAAGCAAAGTCCTTCAGCATGGGGGAAACATCTCTGTAATGATACGATAGGTCTGTGCATCTGTTCTCACAGCAGGGACATGTACTGGAGCTAATCAGGAGCTGGAAGTTGTGTTCCCCAGGAAATTCTGACATAGGAAAAAAATTAATTCCAAATTAGATGGAAATGCCAACATTTCTAATTTTCTTACAGAATGAGATTTCTCCCCCAAAGTAGTTCTAGGCCATCAGAATGTTTTAGTTTGATAGTGTAATCTTGATTCATTTCATTCTGACTCTTACACTATATTAAAACGTTAAATGTAATTACATATATATAATAACACATATAATATAGAATATATCTGAATTAGTGATCTAATAGAGGATAAAATTTAAATAGTAACTATCTAAAATGAGGGTTGCTAAGCTGGAGCACCTGACTTTTAAAGCCTCACTTAGGCAAGCAGTTCCTTCTTCCTGTCAAAAGGGAGCAGTGGGCTCCTTGGAGGACAATTGGAACTACCCAAGTGGGTTGCCTCTGAGGATTCCACTGCTCCCCACTGACTGTAAAGGGAAAATTACATGGCATAGTTGTCTCCCAAAATGTTTACATGCAATAATGTTACATTTACCCCTCCTTACTTTTCACGTCTTCAGTGAAGCCATCCAATAGATTAACCAGGCTCCTCTGATAGTCATTGTAAAGAAATAGGTAACTTTACTACTTGATTTTTCTCATCCTGATACAGAAATTATGCTCTACAGGATCTGTTTTCAGATTATCAGTGGAGGCTGAAAGGACTAGATAAGCTACTCTAAATAGCAGGTCCTCGATCTCCAAATAGCAGGTGCTGGAAATCATGTTACTGGCTTTTAACGAAGGAGTTGCCCACAAACTTCTTTCTTTCAATGCAATTGCATTTTTATATGCTTTCTCAGACACAGACCCCCACTGGACGTTATTGCCTACGTTGCTAATGGGTGTTTCCATGGCCTATGCACGTCAGCATGCTCTGGTCCCTGGGGACTGAGGACATATCACCAGCAATTCCCCATGAACATGTTTCTCCATACTATCCTTGGTGACAACGATGTTGTGCCATATATGGAAATGGAGAAATACTCTGTGGACCAGGGATGCAAAGCAATCAGGCGTTTAAGGGATACTCCAGGTGTACAAGGAGGGGAACCAACGTGGTGGGGATGGCCTGCTGGGGTCACAAAAGAGGAAGTCACTTTTACTCACCTTCTCTCTGTTGTTGTGGAATCATGGGAGGTGGCTGTGGGAACGCTTGGCTAATCTGGCCATAAGCAGCAGGATAAGCAGCTATAGGGGAGAGAAAGGGAGAGAAGAAAGAAGGACAGATTTCAGTGCTGGGAAGCGAGGAACTTTCACTCCAAACCACCATACCAAGCTAGAGGTGGTGCATTTTGTCTCTTTGAAGGGCCATCTCGTGCAGCGTGAGGTGTGGCAGAAGAACAATGGCCGTGCTCCAGGAGGTGCCACATGGCCTTGAGCACCCACCCTCCCCTCAGCTTCGTCAGCAGTAACACCAAGGAGTGCCATGCAGTGTAAATGGGGGTCTCTGCTGAGATCTTTCCCAGCAGAGATGCACAACCGTTCCAGATGGTGACACGAACACATCCATTCTCGAGCTCAGCGCAGAGAGGCCCATGCTGACAGCCACGTGCAGAGAGCGAGCACACGTTTCCCCTGTGTGATCTCCCTGGTACCCTGATTAAGTCCCATGCTCATAAAAACAGTCCACACGTGTATTTCCTCCCTTCATATGCCCACACACTGTATGGACAGAGTTGCACATACACCCTTGGATATACATTTTCTTTCATGTCCGTAGAGACTTTTTCTCTCTCACACAAACACAGTGGAAACAGTGAGCAGCAATTAAACAATTTTCCCCAACTCAGCTCCCCCACCAAGCAAACAAGGGGAGCCATTCACTACCACAGATGGTAGATGATGTGCCTTGCTGCTAAAAATACAGAGTATGGGTCGGCTGCGAGACCAGAGAGAAGGGGATAAGGGCCATGTGTGTGCAGAGGGGTTAATTAACAGCTCAAAGGGTTGAGCTGCTTCCCATCTATCAAACCTCACAAGCAATAAATGACAATAACTAAAACACCGGCAAATGAAGCCCTACATGGAGAATTAAATTAAGTTTCCAGATACAGCGCTGACATGAGATAATAGCCATTCCTCAGCGGGAGCCCATGATCGCTCCAGTTACCACAGGAAATAATGACTTTGGGGTGGCAGCTTCTTCGCAACGTTGGCCATGGACACCTCGCGAGGGGAGGCTGAACACGGCGGGGTCGTGGTCTGCACCAGGTCACTTTGGCTGGTGTCAGTCCATCAACTGCAAAGGAGCTGCTCAACATACAGGGCAACACGAGTGGAAGCTGATCCATTGGGAGCTGTGGAGAAATCTGCTGGGAAGCTGGGAGGATGCCTGTGTATCTCCTAAGCAAGTCTCAGACTAACTACCTGGGGTATGGCCAGTACACATACCCTAAAAAAATGGGTATGTGCAGGCATTCCATACTGTGCCAGCCACAGGAGCAGTGGCTCTGCAGGGCCTGGGTGCCTGTTTTCCCTCTTTGTTACAGCATTCAGGAGACCTGTTATAGCAAGTGGCCTCCAAATCAGTAGCCTGATTTTGGACTTGTGCATTTTGCTAAGGCAAACCAGACATGGTGCTGCTGATGAAGTTTCACTGAGGTACAGGTCAGTGGCACCAATTCCCTGGGAAAAGGTTTCTTCCTTTGTGGAAGAAGACCCTGGGCTTGGTGTTTGTGCAAACCTAATCTGGGAGTCTATGACCCCCAGCTTGCCTGTGTACTAGTAAACACCTCCCTTCCCTCAGCCCCCCGAGGTGGGTTCAGAGATTAATGGCTTTACATAAGAGAAAGGTTTATTGGGAGAAAGTGTTAATACTAACGACCTGCGTACTGCTGCACTCCAGCGTAGGCTTGCTGCAAGGGGTCTGCTGCAGTGGGGCTCTGTGCTGTGGAGACATAAGAGAGAGAAGGAATTAAGGGTTAAAATATGATAGCCACTCTCCCTTTCTCTTTCATCATCAACATGTGTTGTGAGACAGACAGACCCCGGGGCCGAGGGTTGCAGAAGAGGAGCAGCTTGCCTATGGCCTATGGACTGCACAGAGCCCCCCGGCATGGCCAAGAGGGTTCTGTCCCCCAGCCATCACCCTGTGAGACCTTGGACCAGAGGGCAAATAAACCTCTCTCCTCCTTTCCCAAGCTCAAATTGTGGATCCGCACCGATCATGCAGATTTTTGGCACTGCAGCAATCAACCCCAAAGAACCCTCATCTTAAGCCAGGACTGACACTGTGCTAGGTGCTGTGCAAACTCAGATCTCAGTGACAGCTACAGTCACATGAAACTTTCAATCAGAGCAGAAAACAACAGGGGCATAGCAGGAGAAAGGAGAAGAGAACAAAGCAGTGGCTCCTGTCATCCCCACATCCCTTCGAAGGACTGTGTTGCTGCCAGGCAGCCCCTTGTGAGAGAGAAGAAGCTGGTTGTGGGGGGCGGGGGACACCACTTGTCTGCTCCAGGGAGGATGCTGTGAATCTCTGCGTAAGGCATGCAGTCTCTTGCTGGCTTCAAAGTGCATTTTCTCTCTTTACAAGTGTGTATTCCTCCCCACTAAAACTGTTTATTTTTGGGAAACTTTGAAGTCTTGCTCAAATACAACCAAAGCTAGTTAAGATTTTTTTTTTTTCTTTTTCTCCTTTGGTTGATAGGGAGGAAAAAGAGAGAAACGTGTTGGATAAGCTCTTTCTTTATCTGCAGCAATAAAAAATTTAAAGCAAAGCTTGGCTGAACCTCCAGTCCAAATGTCACCTTGGCCCTAATATTTCACTTCTTGTTATGAGTTTAATTTGTATTTATCGGTGCTGCACAGTTCTACATTTACACAGTCCCTTCAGCTTATTCCTTGTAGGATGATCCCTTAGGGAGCTGCCACTTTCCCACATCCATCCCACCTTTTTCCTTCTTACCCGCACAGAGGTGTGGCTGGAGGCAAGGCTTGGAGGATGCAAAGGTGGGGGCCTCTTGGAAGGAAATCTGGTGCCATACACCTATCCAAGGAGAGACACTGACTGTATGGCAAAGTGTGGGGGAGGTTGTCAAACGTGAGTATTACAGACCCAAGGAACATGGATTAAGTGTTTTCTTACAGATAGAAATACCAGCTTGAAACTTAACCTTAAAGATCACCATTGGTCATGTTAGAAGCTTGCAAGGTCTTGCACTCTTCTCCCAAAATACAAGGAGGAATGGTGAGAAGACCAAACTTTGAGGTGGCAAACCCAATTAGCTGGCTAAAGCTTGGAGGCTTCTGTTCATCATGGACATTACTGGATCACGTGGACTTGGAGAATGGGGTAGTCACAGGAAGAAATAAGTGGGATTGCAGTCTTAGGTTGGAATGATTACCTAGATGACTTTTGGCAAGTCCCTCAATATGTGTGTACGTGAAATGGGAAAGCACTGCCCTATTGTAGGGATTTTTACTTCTTACAAAGGGGTGTGAGAAGAATATATTAAAACCTGTGGGAGATCAGTGGAAGCCATAGTAGAGATATAAAGCTACATTTTTAAAGAGTAGTTGTTCCAGGAAACAGAAGGAAATGGTTGGAAAATATAAAAATTGTTTCTACTTACTCCTGTACTCTTGAAGAAGAAACCAAATAAAGTCTACTCTTTTTAACTTCTGTTCAAAACTGTTTTCCTTGAAAAACAGAATGTTGATCATATTGCTCCAAAAGAGCTCAACAGGTATGAAAGATTGAGTGATACACCAGTTCCCACACCCCTTTGGGAGAATGTATCATCATAACTTGGACCCTCCAAAATGACCAAGCCCTGTTAGGTAGAAGAGATCTCCTGAGAAAGGTGAGGGAACCTGTGGTGAAATAAGCAAATCTTTCTGAGACAGCTATGGTTTTGCAGATTGCAGTAAAGAAAATTATCTCCCAACTCTCCCCCAAAGGCAACTGCCCTTCCTTCATTGCACTCATCTGTTTATAGAGCTAGAAGAAGAAATTGTCTCTGCTGCTCAGGAAATATAGTTACAGCATTTAATTTCTTTCCAGATGAGTCTGGTTTGGGCATGTTTGTTCTCTCTCTGACCTGCTGACAATTAGCAATGGTTGTCACTTCACTGATTCAGAAGTCACTAAGCAGGACCTGTTTGACTGTGGTCCTTTCCTTAATTTCTTGCCTTATCTGGGAACGTATGGGAACTGCCCAATCTCCCAGCTACAGCTGAATCTGTCCTGAACAGGACCACCTGGCTCACTGCAGAGCTGCTCTCCCTCTTTCCCCCACCTGTGGATATCTCACCTCCTTCGGAGTCACATTTTGACCATTAGAACTGAGACATTCTGCTTAGGAAATATACACTGAAAATCATGGTTCATCTTTAGGATTAAATATTAGAACTGGACAAACACTTTATTTAAAGTGTTTGGGACAACAGGACACTAAATGCAGCTTTTTCCCCTTCCACACTAAAGCTTTTAGAGTTTATTATTTTCCTAAGTATTACTGACTAGTCATCAAAGTTAACATCTAAATGGGTGTTCCTTTCTGATGAGGCTGCCTTATGCCCCAGATCATGCATGGAATTTCATCTTGGCTCACAGCACATGCAAGCCAGTGGGTAGACTCTGCCCTGGTTTTCAGTCAGCTTTGCCCCCAGTTGGAAATCACTTCCTCATAGGAAAAGAAGATGCAAAGTAGCTGTTCTAACACGTAAAGCCCAAACACTGACCCAGCCATTCCTGGATGCTCTTGAAAAGGAGAGAGTCTAAAGCACCTCTGGGGAGGCAACAACTCATGGCTTGGGGCTCTATTTTACGTATAGTCTCATACCCTGCCTTTGGCTACTTGGGGGAAGTAGCTGTGGTAAGACACAGCCAGCAGGAATTTAACTTGGCAGCTCTTAAAAACAAAACTGATGACCTCTGCTCACTGAAGAACTCTCCTTCCTTAGCCTGAAGATTGTGTTTACTGAGCAAATGAAGATGTGCCTCCAGCACAGTGGATGTGTCCGTGCTAGCCAATATGGCCTATGAAGATGCAGGGACACAGACTCCAGGGTTGGCTGGACACCCTGGCAGGAAGCCAAGGCGTCTTGGGCAGCCATGAGCATATCTTCATGCTGCTGCTCACTCTGCCAGAGGAATTAAACCTAGGAAAGGGCATAACTGCCTGCACTCCCAGCTGTAGCATGAATGAGGCCAACAGCTGATATTGATCCAGAAATCTCAAGACACAGATTAGACGTTTGAGGAAGTTGTGTCCCTGCTGTGTTCAATAAAGTGACAGCCTTCTTACATACTAATGACGCATAAGAAGGTCAGCAAGGGCTCAGATGTACGAGGAGCTCGTGATCCAAGTCAACCCACTGCAGGGGTCATGTGTGGCTGTAGCACACCACATGCTAAAATTTAAGGTCATGGGGAGAGAGGAGTCATTTCTGTGTCCCAGCACAAGGAGACCATGAGGTGAAGTCACTTTATTCCTTCCTGAGATACATAGGTTGTGTGCCCCTGTGGCCTTCACACAGATCACTAGGGAGGAGAGTTACCCTGTTTCAGCCACTCTTTCTCCCCATCCAGCTTGCCAGTCTTTGTTACTACAAATAGTAGTTGAACACAGGCATGTGAGTCTGGAAACAGACCTCAGCTCCTCAGCTCTGTGTGCTACCTGTGCAAGGGTGCAAGACTACAGTGGCCCATAAGGTAAATAGCTGATTAAGGGCTGGTAAGAGCTATAGGGATATAGGAGACACTAGGTGAGGGACATGGATTACATAAAACACTTTGAAGGGGCTTTTGCACCAGAACTAGCATGTCTCTAAGTTGTAACATCATCCAAAGACCTCGGATGTGCTAATGTGCCTACAGATTACATCTAAAGCAGCTTTCCTTGTGGCCAGACTCATGGAGATGCCATGTCCAATATACAGACATTTCTGAGATTAAGGGTGATGTAATGTATATGCTGAGGATCACCTGGTGAAAGGAAAAAAGCAGAGAGGCTCCTGAGAGGCCAGAGGACAACTATCAATCACATCAGCTCTGCTGAAGTCCCTGTGGCCTTGCTGCTTTGCAGGAGCTGAGGATCTGGCCTTTCCAGGGCAAACTAAAGGTGTACTGTGAAAACAGATGCTAATAGTAACTTCATTTGGCAGCTCAGGGCAAGAGCCTTATCCCTGGACATCTCCTCTATATTAATTTGATCATTTCCATATCTCCACGGGAAAAATCCTACTCAGATACAATTGTTCTCTTTGCAAAGATGATCCCGGCCAAGATGCCACAAGGTGACCATGGCAGATAACCTTCCATAAACCTGGAGACATAAAACAAGCCAATGACCTACTATATGGCCATAAATATAAATTTAACGAAGGCAGCACTTATTCATTAGGCAGAAGTCAAGAAATGACTCCCAAGTCCTTCAAAGAAAGTAGATCCGTTAATGTCACTTTCCAAATCCTCTGCCTGATGCCAAAAAGCAAGGATGATTTCCCAAGTCAGCATGAAATACCAGTGCTTTAAAATTAACACCAGGAAAGTTTCTTACTACTGATATATCTCTAGATTGAAATCCAACTTTTTAAAGGGGCATTTAGTTATTGTTGGGCCTGACATTTAGCTTTTATCAGAGAGTGAATGAATGGAGGTGGCAGAACAAAGCACGTTGTTAAAAATAAATAAAATTGGTTTAAATTATGTTCTATAAAGATTCTCTCCTGCGATGTCAGTGGCCCTGCTACAGTGTCTGGCCAAGACAAGCTGTTATATGGATGTCTCAAGTGAAAATGGCTGCAGGGGACAGAGAGCTGGAGTCTGCTGTGGTGGTCAGGGGTATAAATCAGGAGGATCTGCACCTAAGCCACTGGGATCGTGAGGAAATAGGATAACGGTTACTGTCTGAGACACGAAAAGGGGGTCTTCCATACCTCTCAGTGGACTATGGGACAGCCTCCCTGTCCCAGCTCAGGGTATGAGAAAGCCAAAGTGATCTGCTCTCTGAAACCAGAGGGGGCCAGTGCTTCTGAGAGACAAGAGAAGGGTCTAGCTCATTTTAGGCCCCTAAGGGACCTTGGGATTTAATTTTGGTGGAAGGAGTCAGCTTAGAACTATATGATACTCTCTCCACTCTCTGCTTCTGATAGTTTGTGCATTTTCTGACAGACATGCCCAATTCCATCTATTTCACCCTATTTTGCAGAGATGCATCCTATAGGGGTCTGAAACAGCAAGTTATGAACTGGATCCACAGCCCTGTGGTCTGCCCCATCTATTCTTTCCTCCTACTGTCCTGAAGGTATTTTGCACCTCTCCCGGGAGCTGAAGCTTGGCCACTATCACCTTTGGAAAAGAGGACAGGGGAGGAGGGTGGTCAAAGGGAGATAGTGTTGTTCAGTGAGTGTGGGGGGTAATAACATAATGATAGCAAAAAAAAAAATTAAAAAAAATCTATGTGAAGGCCAGGATTAAAATAAATAAATAACTGAGTGGGAGGGCTCTATTCACCTTCTCCTTAAATCCAATTTAAATCACTCTCTACAGCCCTAATCTATATCCATAATTATATCATTTTGTACAACAAGCTTGCGAGAGGTCTTAAGAAATTTATGTAGATTAAAATTCATGGGTGCCATAGTACAGATTCCATATTATTAAGATTGATTAGGACAGCTGATGCTGTGATTAAAGAAGCCAGCGTTTACTGTTGTAATTAATTAGGTATTCAGACACAACAATAACTGCAATAACAGAAAGAATGTGCTGATCTGGCAGAAAACAGAGGCTGATCCTGTGTTTTACAGTCTCGTTTTGCCATTTAGGGGTGGACACCACTCAGTTAAAGACATGTTGTTCCACTGTCCCTTCCCCTACACATCAGAAGAGCAAAGAAATTGAGGGCTTTTGTACCCTCTGCTTCATCCTGTTAATAGGAAAAGCCATTTTGGTAGCATCCCCAGGTATTGCAGATGCTTGTTTAGGACTACATATGATCTTACTATAAAATTCATGCAGTTCAGTTTTGGAAACCAGGA